AAAAAAAATTTTCAAAACCAGATAACTTACTGCAGTTAAATCTCTAGTTTCTCGACTAGCTTGCGTCAATAATTGCTCCTTCTCCTCCATCTCATCTTTTAATAAATCAATTTCATATAGCAAAGCTGACTTCTCATTATCCAGTTGGGAATATAAAAGCATAGCTCGTTGAAACTTATCTTCCATTTCACTGACTTTCTCCTTCAAATTTAAAATGTTACTTTATGTAGTGAAAGATCCAGTAAAAAGGCTTTCAAACATATAAGGGCAAAAAAAGTTCCCGAATAAGAGGAACACAAATTCTGTCCGATGTAAATACCTAAAAGGCTGCTAGCAATCCTTCACATTCAATAAAATTAACTAAATTTCTGGCATTTAGAAAAGCATGTTAACCAATAATTATTAAAACGTTACTCCTTAACGCATTCAAACTTTAAGTGACCAATATTAATCCAAATTGACTAAAGACTACATGCGTCATCTCTAACAGGCAAAAAACGATCGGAAAAAAATAACGCTGCAGTTTTCAAATCTTGCCAAGCAAAAAATAAAAGAGGAAACAAAGAACTATCTGTACATGTACAAATCAAAATCCCCTATACTAGCTTATGTGTTTAAAAAAAGAAGAAATAGTCGAGAAACACACCATTTGAAGATAAAGTGCTAGAAGCCCTAAAGCGAGAAACGAGAGCTTAATTAGTTGAAAGCATAGGAGAATTATTATAAAGTGAGAATTTTCTAACAAAAATTACGATGAAAAATTTACAGTTTTAAAAAGGTTCCAAAACAACTTATGGTAATCATGCTATTTAACTAATTTCGGAGAGGGAAGCAAAAAAAACAAAATAAAGAAAAAACCTCGGGTTAGCTTTCCGAATGAAAGTCCAGTAAAATAAACTAGTGTGAAAAAGACACCATAAAGGTCACAAAAAAAAGTATAGTAGAAAAACGAAATTAAAGTCATACCTGAATTGTGACAACAGTTAAAAAAGTAAATTGAACAAAGAAACTTAAACCTTAAGAGCCTCTTTTTCCTGTTCATCAGTTTCTTTCTGAGTGTCAGTTCGTGACGTCGAAGGTGTTGCTTCTTTCTAAATCACCGCAAACCATGCAGAATAAAAATGATCACAGATTACGGCCATAACATGATAAAAACATTTAAGATTTCTTTAAATAACATAAAATTAGAAAGTAATACACTTAAAACAAATAACAGAAAGACGGCACAGGTCGTAAGTTAGTAATGTGAATACTTGGACAAATGTTACTGGAAAATCTACAACAGTCGTTAAGTTGAACGAAAAATAGATAAAATCAATATGAGAAATACTGAAACTTCTGAGACAAAGTAACAAAAACTTTAGTAAAAAAAATTAATACGTATTATAAAGGCTTACTGTAGTTGAGTCTGGAATACCATACGTTGCATTAGCTTCAGCCTGAAAAAGAAGCAATAAAAACAGAGTGGTAACCTACTTGTATGAAAACGTATTAACACAGAAAAAAATGCTAAAACTTTGGAGCTTTTATAAACAGAAATAAAAAGCGAAGTTGGGAAGAAAAGAACTGAAAGACTGAAACTAGGCTTTGTGCTCCTTACCCACAAGTTTTTTAAAGTTAACAATGACAAATAAAAAACATTTAAAAAAAATACATTTCTTAAATACTTAACATACAGCCACAGATATCCGGTCATGAATGTCAACAATTTCCCCCACCGCAATACTAAAACTTTTAAAATAAAATGGGATAAATAAGGAAGCAAATGGGAAACGAAATCTAACACATAACCGAAAACTACGTAAAACACGCCCTTTATTTACAAATGAAGTTGATAATCAATTAATGCAATGCTTCACACCTCTCTATACTGCTTTTCAAGCTGCTCAAGTCGAATTTGCCTCGCTTCCTCACGAGCTTGACGTTTGCGAAGCAATCGTTCTTCGGCCTACAATAAAAGTTATAAATTCTTGCCTCTCTATTTCCAAAAAAGTAAAATGATATGACTGGCAAATAAACCAATGATTATAATGCACAGGAAAAATCAAAATAAAAGGTTCGCCTAATCAAAAATCAACGAGTCTGGTTACTGGCACAACCCCTTAATAAATATAAAAAAAGCTCTAAAAAAACTTGTATGCCATTCTTTTTTAATCTAAAAGACAGCAATTAAAATGGTTAAACGATTGAAAAAAAGTGCAAAATGAAAACATTCCTTGAAAACTATTCTCCTGACCATTTATAAGTCAGTATTTAACTCAAAACTCAGAAAAACTATTGGCAACTTAAAATTAAAAAAAAAAATAATTAAAGCGCATTCTGCACCTACGTTAATCAGTCGCCTTTCCTTCCAAAACATCTAAAATCCAACAACTTTTTAATAATATCATCGTCCAAAGCTTTTCTAAAAAAGCTCAAGTTCCAATTTTTTACCAAGACAAATCAGCTCAGTAAATTAATGCATGGAATCAAAACTTACATCGCGAGATATGCGATCGAGTACCTGCTCTTCAGCACTCAGTCGACTAACCGTACGACGTCTTCCACTTGTATATGTGCTCATGATTCGGATGCTTCTTTAGAAAGAAAACTTAGTTAATTGGTAAAACAGAGAATAGGCTCTACGACGCGAACAGCTGTACGACTTAAAAAAGAACGCTCGGAAATAAAAAAAACCAAGCCTCTGTTGAGATAAAAGAAGAAAATCTGGAAAAAAAAAGCAGAAAACTTTTCGAAGTTTGAAAATTGACAAGTGAAACACCCATTAAAAGTACGAAATAATGGAAGTAAAATCAAATATAACAGAAACAAAACAATAAAATACAACTGCGAATATTAAACAACCCAAACGCAATGACTTCTTACGATTAGTTAGGCCGATGACTACAGAACAATTTGTTGCTGAATCTTTAATAAAATCAAAAATTTATCGAAAAAATTGACCTGCAGATTTAGCGAACTATTTACCGTCCAAACCAATTCTTAATGTTAGACAATGAATTCGCTACTATAAATCAAAACGAAAAATTTTAAACGACTAAGATTCTTTTCATTAGATTAAAAAAAATTAAAAAAAGAAAATCCGTTGCAGTTATCAAAATTAAAACTAAAACTATTCGCTGACTTCACTAAACAACTCAGAAAAACGAACAATGCAAAAATCCAATAAAAAAAAAAATTCACCACTACTCGGCCTTTATTTAGCATAATCCAACAATAAATCTCGTTTAAAATTAGGTTTTAGCATAAAACCCACAAAAAGCACCACCTATTCTGTTACGACATAGAAAACGAAACAAAAAATATAAATAATGCTGTTGATGATAAACCAACACCGGAATTTCCTCGCAATGATCACTGAAAAGTTTTTCTTGCATTAATGAACCTGAAATTTAAGAATATTTTGTGCCATAAAAGCAACGAAATCGCTAATAAACCAGAAAAAAAAAATTCAGCATAAAAAAAGTAAAAACTAATAGCATTCCTACAGATGCACTGCAAATTTGCACATGCACAACACAGATGTCATTGTTGTCGTCGTAGTCTTAACATCCATAACAACTCTTAACCATCTATCTAAATAATGATTTTCCACAAAAACAAAAACAGCAGCAACGACAACAGCAAAATAAAATAAAATAAAATAAAGTTTACAGGGAAGAACAGTGCAACAAATAATATAAGAAGTATCAATAATACGCTGTAAAACATTTCGCATTTCAAATCCTCTGACAGTGAACACCAAGACGGAAAAATTCCAATAGGCCAAAAGTTGGGCGAAAAACAACGAGAAGAACAACTGAATGATTCATAACATTTGCCACACCAAATAATACACAATCATTCTCAACTTTTTTTTTCTCTTTTTTGAGATCAAGAATAACCGGAATAAAACAAAAAAAATAAATAAATAAAAATAACAACTGAGAATGTAATGCAAACAGTGAATATTCAGAAAGGCATA